TCTTTTCTCTATCAGGCTTATATAGAAAGAAAGATTTTTAAAGCTTACTATATGGCTAAGTAACGCCGTGATCAGAACTTTTGGTACACCCTAAGTAATTAGTATAGAATCACCTATAGGTCTTTTGGAAATGTGCTGCTTTGAAAAAGAAAAGAAATATTCGATCAAATTCTGTCAAGAAGTTTTTCGTGTAAGTTCACAACAATGCTTTTCAGATACCATAGCAGTCTCGACAATTCATTAGTGTCGTCAGGTCCCATAAGCCTTTTTCTTACGAGTCCTATGATTTACTCGTGATTTGCGAAAAGTCAAGTTGGCAAACTCTTGGCGGTCTCCAATAATCAAGTGTTCACTTCACGTTAAACGGATCCAGTCGTGTATATTTCATTCGACACGGTTTTGATCTATGACGTGCACTAGTCAGTAGTTCGAAACAAGAGCAACACTGGTCGTTTCGGTTGACACTTCAATAGTCAATAATTAGTAATTAATAATTAATAATTGATAGTTCCTTGAGCTTGATTTTTCTGGTGCCAAGTTCCGATAAATATTACAAATATCAATGGACTTTATGCGTATCCTATCCAATATCTGATTTATCAAAATCGATTGAATTAGTCGAGTGTACAAGAAAATACATAAAGTAATTTCCATCTTAGATGAATCTATTTCAAACTTCAACCGCTACGATAAACAAAAAATGTAATCGAAGACTATATTGCTTTGAGAAAAAAATGAAAATCGTACACCAATAAAACGAACTCGACTATGCTGCTTTATAGCTGATAATTAACGTTGTAAAATACTTAGAGCTATGTAAAATGAAAATCTATTTTTTCTTACATTTATGCACGTGATCATTTGTCTAATATTTGTACAAGACTCATTCGTGCTGCGATTGAAACCAGATGACAAATTCATATTTCCCATTGGAATCTACTTATTTAACATCTTTTTACATTGATAGATAAACATCGAATATAGATGCAGAAAATGAACAAATATACGTGTGAATTTTAAATAAATGAGGAAGAAAGCAAGACTCGATTTCAATCCTATTGAGCAAGAAAACGCTACCGAGTTATCAATAGATAAGATAATAAAACTTTGTCGCATATTTTTGTCTTGTGCGATGATTTTTTATCTACGTATGTAGAAAGATGTCAGTTTCTAAATTGGAATTATTACCCAATGAAATCTTGATGGAGATTTTCGAGAAATATATCAACGGAGTCGATTTACTCGTCGCATTTGTCGACGGATCGAACAGTCATTTCAATGCATTGATCGTACAATGTCAACAATATCGTTTCGACTTTCGTGCCTGTCGAAAGATCGACTTTCGTATTTGTATGAGCCTTCTAGGAAATTACATCGATAAGATTCAAGAATTAACATTATCTGATCAATATACACCAGGTGAAATACATGCCTTCTTATCTTTTTTTTCCATTGTTTGAACAATTTAAACAACTTCGTACATTAAATCTTCATTATCATCCTAGAGCTGTTGATCCGAAACTAATTCAACGTGCCCTTCATTCTTTATTGACAACGACTATTGAGACATTGTCAATCATAGTTATCGATCAACCCAAAACATTAGCATTGAATACAATCCTATCGCAAATTTGGCGTTCGAAAACACTCAAGCGACTTTCGTTGTTTGTATCATGTGACAGTGTCGATTGGAGCAATTTCCAACCTTCTACTTCTAATGTCGAATATGTGACTATTTCGGATATAGATTGTACATATGAAAATCTTCAAGCTATTTTTCGATCTGCTCCTCATCTCAAATACGTTAATATTCGATTGACATGTTCACCACTTGACGCATATGCGTATTTTCGACGAAAAAATATCAAAAAGATCGTTCCAACACTAATGGTTATACTTAAAACTGATATTACACTTTCGAGAACATGATTCGACAACATTTGACATGTTAGCCGAACAACTCAAGGTTTTACCTGGTCTGTGTCGTCTTGAAATAGTTGCCCATCCAGAATTAATCAAAACGAATGCTTGGGAAACATTGATCGACACTTCATTGCCATTGTTAACACATTTTAGACTTGAAATCGACGCATATCGTATTCATGATCGCGATATTGAATCTCTACTCGACTCATTTCAAACTTCATTTTGGATTGAAAAAAAGAATTTTAATCTATTCATCAATAATGATGACCCCTTTTCGTTGCTCTTTGATCGAAGGAACCGCTACGGACTTGACATTTTTGGAAGTATATTGAATACCAATACTCCTTCGGAAACTGAACAGGCTTCTTTCAAATGGTCGATAGCTCCTGAACATCCTCTGAGCCATGGTGTTTCCGTGATGCACCATATTACTAGCTTGTGTCTTTCACGTCTGAAATCCTTCCCACCAGATCGTTGTTACTTGAACAATTTAAAAGACCTTACGATCCAAGATTTGGATAAGACTACTCTCGATTGGATCACGACGCATGTGGTCTGTAGTCGGGTGAAAAAGCTTGCCATTTCATATACATGTCGTGAGCTTGATGCGATCGTTTCGGTTCTTACACATATGATCAACATCAATTTCTTAAAGATAAATATGGATCGATTGATTATTGATCTGAGCCCACGTATCGGAATACATATTCAACTGAAATTTCTCGATTTATCTGATGAACAACATCATCTTTCTTCAAAAGAGATTACCATTATCGCGCATCTCTTCCCATGTCTTGAACATTTGATAATCAACACTGACGATTTAGATCAAGTTCCATTATTGAAAGTACATTTGCCAAATCTCTGCAGTTTTACTTTCAAAATTCCTAATGATATATTCAGTTTTGCCGAAGATTCTGTACCTCTACGATGGGACCATGAACTGAGACAAAAAGCAAATTTTTTATTTGCACGAAAAGACGATCAAGCAACAATCTGGATTGATTCAGACGCGTTTGAAGAAAACTATTGGCAAACCTGCTCAATCAAATCAAAGTCATCTGAACCGGTCGATTCCCCACCAGATGCTTCAGCATTCTATAGAAAACGATTCAAATTCAACTACCCATTTTTGAAATGACATTTGCGTTCTTTTATAAAATGAAGAATCTTTCGATTTTTTTACTCTCACCATTATTGTGATTTGAAACACCTATTGTTCGCTGTAATTTAAATATCTAATCTAGATCGATTGAACTCAAGATAAATTTTCTTTTATTTAGGTAAGAATTTTTTGCAGTAATATTGAACTGATTTATTATGCCGTGGCCTTATCTCGTTTTGTTACTTTCTTCATCTAGTCGACAGTTCTAGGCGCACTACTTCTCCGAGAAGTCATTAACATGTTGCCATCCGACAGTAGACATTCACAACAAGTGATTTGATTCCACTGTCATCATTGGTTTAAGTTGAATGTCATTCTCGGTCGAAGGTTGCCGATTCGATGAACAAAGAATAAAGAGAGAAAGTCAAGCGATGAAAATTTCTAAATTGTTTAAGGACATGATTGATAGAATTGGTCAATCCATGCATCCAATTCATTCATATTGTAAGCATAATTGATCTCTCCAGGCTCAGCTGTCAATACCAATTTGCCTTCATGAATGGCATAGAAACGAAATGGTCATGATCTATAGATGTGATGAAAATCGTTGTTGATCGTATCGATAAGCATTGGCATTTCGAAATTGAAATTTGTCTTGAATCGACGAGCATTTTCGAATCGTTCATCGAGTGTGTTCGGTTGATCAACACATGAGATGGTCCTGCCAACTGGCCACTGATCACGAGCATGCGCCTCAGCGATATAAATCGCCACTAGACGCATTCCATTGGGCGCATGCGAGCGATATAGCGCGCTGGAAATAGATCGTTCGTAAACGTTCATATCTGTCTCATGTCAACCGATACTGACTTTATTCGCTCGACAGACGCCCAAAATGGAGGTCAGCTCGTTGAACCAGCTAACAATATCAATGGTTGATCGACTGATAATTGAGAGAACAGTGTAGTCAAATTCCTGTCGAGTGTATAAAGATTGACATCACGAGCACATTCATCTTGATTGACCAAGCCTTGACTGATTTTGTTATGTTTTACTAGAAACAAACAAATTCTCTTGTCATTCAATGATCTGTCAACAGTTTTCACAATGGTTTACCATAGAAAACTGCTTGGACAACAGGATCATCCGGAAAACGATGCAAAGCAGTGCGTAATGCATTGACATCTTGATAACCGAAATGTTCTACTACATGCTGTTGAATGAGATCATGTACGAGTCTATTTTTATTGTATAATAATATCAATATAATTAACTATCGATAAGGAAAGGAGACTTACGTGACAGCATTCTCATCAGTATGATACAAATCCATGAGCTCTTGAATCGAATCCGATAAACGAAGACGTGTCTCATAGATAATTATCTCGCGAAGTGCTTCGATCGGTGGCAATTCATCAGATAATTTGGTTGTATGGAAACCTACATGTCCCGAAGTTGGAAAGAACATCCGACATGACATGCTACTGAAATCTCCCATGTAAGATTGTCTGGGTGGTAGAGGTTGATAGCGTGGCAATATAGGAAGATTTCGTTTTAATGGGGGTCTGCCATTGACGATTCGTGGCTGTCCTTTGGTAGCGATAGCAGTCGCTGTCTTCTGAACTATGTCAGCATTGTGTTTTTCTTTCGAATCGTCCGCTGGATTCTTGCTAACTTCCATGGACGTGTAAGATGTTTTGTTTCCTGCAACTTTTGCGTGTCCAAGTACAAGATAAAATGATTTGTTTAATGCATTTGTCGACAACGACAGCAAGAGAATATTGACAAAAATGCTTCAGAATAGAATGAATGAAGTAAAACTCGTTCTTGCACCACACTTTTGCAAGTAACAGTTAATGATTCGTTGAATGAGAATCAAGTCAGATTTGCTCTTATGTGTGTCGTGCTTAAACAGTGTAAGATTCAGTATTCTCTTTTGAGGATGAGTTGAAAACAGACTCATTTTGGCAATTATTTTGTTCTGACTATCATATAAGGGAATGTGTTGTCGTCTACAACGAAATGATCCCAGCGTTTGAGGATTTAATAAAAATTTCTCAAGTTTCTGTTTTTTCGAAATCTGACAATGGTCACACAGATCGAAGCGCTTTATAAATGTTTCTAAGATGTTTAAGGATTGTGCTTTGTCGTCGGTCGAGATTAATGAACTTTGAAATATACTGTAATTGTCGATTTCTACAGTAGTAAGCTTTGCACTTAAATATTCCTGACGATTTTTAGGGTAGTCTTCATAGAGTTGTGATTCAAACAATGATCGAGATATAATCTGTGTGCTAAATTCAAACCATAGACCGAAACGAATCCAAAAAGTCAAGATTCGAGTCTTGTCAAGTCGAGTTGCTGAGTATCAACTAAAAAGTACCTGTTTACCTGCATGTTTCACTGCATAAAGTAAGCCAGTGTTCAATAGTAGAAAAAGACAACATAGAAATGCAGATTTTCAGCTTGCCTCGATTCGAACAATTTTACGCGAATCATAATATAATTTCGTGAATGTTTTGCATAATAAAGCCTAACAAGCATACTCTATAACCTGGACATATTTTGAGAAAATAAGAGTTAGTGAAGTCAAGTTTTTTTTTCTCTGGATAAGTAAAAGGTAACCAATGAGTAGACCTTCATTTTAAACTAGAATTATCAAGACGAAACTAAAACTGAATTCTTTTTTTGCATGAACTTTTAGTAGAGTAGATGATTCTTCACGCTAAAAGCGTGCAACAAACGCACAATTTTGAATTTAATTTTCGAATATAACTACTTTGATCGGTATAGTGATTATGTGGATTGTTTTGATTCACATGTTAGAATATTTAAAAAAATCAATCTTTCGCTGTTTCTTGTGATAAAGCTTTTTTTTGTATCCATTTATCAATAATAATTGTTTTATTATATTTACACCGCTCTATCGCACACTTTTCAGTAAATTTTTGCTGACAGTTTTTAAGATATCAAGAAAGATTTATCGTAGTCATCATTATTAGAAAAAAGCGAAGTATAGCTGGCATACTCAAGTGGTCCATTATGGACTAATAAAAGATTAAGTATCAATCAATAGAAGAAGCATTTGCATGTCGATTATATTTCAGCTTTTGCGATACCGACTACGTACGATATAACTATCTTTCCTAAAATCTTCAAGATTTTCAACAAAAGACTTACTAATACACGTGCAATACAGCAGTGTAAATATTTTTTGAATAATTCGAATGAACAAACCAATAGAAAAATATTTTTGTAGAGAAAAAATGCGTTTAAATACCAATAAAACGTATCGTAAATCAGCAAACACGTTATTCAACAATTCGTTTCTGATTCTAATGAGAAAAGGCACGCTTAAACTCTAGCAAAAACATGCGAATTGATTTAAAAAATATGATTTTAAATGCTGTTTTCTTTTTCAATTTTTTCATACGTAGTATTATCATTTTTTCAAGATCAATAGATTTAACGATTATGATAAGAGCCATGATATACTGTATTCTGTCATTAATTCAAGTGTAAAAGCAATAAATTTTCACCAGATAATATAAAACGAATAGACAAAACGAGTAAGCGTACTTTGTCATTCATCAATACGTCTATGTGCATGTTTCAATGATATTCGAGTGGAAGAAGGTTGAAAATTCTGACATTTGCTCTTGCATTTTTCGTTTTTACTACTGTTCATTTTAGGTTTTTTGGTTAGCTGCGTTCTTTTTGTTGGGTGCAGTCATTGTACTAATACCCTGTGTTGTGGTTATTGCTCGACGTTCTAATGAATGTCCTGCCCAAACTACGACTTCAGCAACGTCACATTCAGTGACAACGCCTTCGGTAACGGTACCTTCAGTGACAACACCTTCGGTAACGGCACCTCCAGTGACAACAACTTCAGTGACATCACCTATAGTGACGTCACCTGGAATGACCACGCCTTCAGCAACACAATCTCCAATGACGACGTCACCTGGAATGGCCACGCCTTCAGCAACACAATCTCCAATGACGACGTCCTCAGTAACGATAGCAACAACAGCTCCAATGACAACATGGAATGCCAGTGATTATCTATCAAACAGTGAATATTATCAGTTATTGCCAAATTCACGTAACTTTGATCAATCGGATAATCTTCGTTTGGATCGTCTTTCATCACCTCGATTTCAACCAATTGATGGAAAAAGTATAATCTATTTAAGACGACAGTATCATATGCCTGATTTACGTGGATCGACAACAACCTTGCATTGGCGCGACTTAGAAACGAACAAGACTCTTCAATTGACACGACCAATTTGGGGTATACATGATCAACAAGTAAGACTAAAACTATTTGGTATATTTATTTAGACTATTTTTCTTTTCTTCAGTTTTTCTGGGTGAATAGTAATACGATTCTATTTTTGTCTAATCGAGCATCAACAGGTCTTAATCAAATTTTTCAACTTAATCTTCCAGCAGATTTATCAACGAGAAATACTTCCATTGATCCGATTCAAATAACAAATTATCCATTGGATATTGATAATCTTTTAGTTAATCGGAACGCATCACGTCTGGCATTCAGCTGTCAAGTCTATCCAAACTTATCGATCAACGAAACAGTTGCTCGACAAGCGACAGAGAAAGCTAGTGGTCGTTCGATTTATCAATTCGATAAGCTATTCATTCGACACTGGGATGAATACATGACAGGTCCACGTCATCATCCATTTCTTGTTCAGATCGAACAGCAAAGCAATGGAACATACAAATTTTTAGCAGAACCAATTGATATACTTTTCAATGTAGATAGTGATTCGCCAACACGACCTTTCGGTGATGCTAAAGCTCAATGGTCATTTAGTGCAAGTGGTAATTCGTTTGCATATACTCGACAATATGATGAAAAGAGTGAAGTAGCTTGGTCAACCAATTTGGATATATATACACTTGATTTGAGTATGCCTAGACAAAATGCTACTTGTATTACGTGCAGTAATATGGCAACAGATACTGATCCATCTTATTCACCAACAGATGATAGCATATTGGTCTATCGATCACATTCAGTTCCCGGATACGAAGCTGATCAATACAAAATTAAAATATATAACGGTCAGTCATGTTATTTTCGTGTTGACTCAACTTGCATTCTTCTTCTTTCCCATTTCAGCATCGGATTCGACAATAACTGTACTCGACAATGGGGATCGAAGTATTCAAGCTGTGACATGGTCTCTCGATGGTCAATCTCTTTATCTTGAAATCGGTGAACAAGCAGAAAATGTTATCTACTATTTATCCAATATATTTACGGATCAAACAATCGTTCCTGTAACTAGCAATGGCACTTCGCACAATGTCAATATTCATCCTATCGACAATCAAACATTTGTCTTCACACATGAAAGTATCCTTGAACCGGCAAATATCTATTTGAATTCGTCCGATGGTTCGATTCGAGCTCTCACTGACCATAACAAAGAGCTATTAGCTAAAGTAAAAATGAGTACCGTAGCCGAGAAATTTTCATTTAACGGCTCACAGGGTGATACAGTTTGGGGATGGCATGTGCCACCGGCGAATGGCACAAACGAATCAGCTCCACTTGCTTTTCTCATTCATGGTGGTCCGCAAAGTAGTTGGTACAATGCATGGAGCTATCGATGGAATTTGCAATCCTTTTCTTCTCAAGGTTACGCTGTCATTGCCATCAATTTTCATGGCTCGGACTCATACGGACAGAATTTTACCAATAGTATTACAGGTGAATACGGTACTTTGCCTTATGAAGATCTTCAATTAGGGCTTACTCATGCTCTGGAAAGTTATAGTTATATTGATTCAAACCGAACTGCAGCATTGGGCGCTAGTTATGGTGGATATATGATCAATTGGATTGCTGGGAGACCAGAGATGAGCTCTCGTTTTAAAACCCTCATTAGTCATAATGGTTTGTTTGATATGAGAGCTATGGGTTATTCAACAGAAGAGTTATTTTTCACTGAGTACGATGCAGGAGGTTTCACTCTATGGAATAATCCCAATGCTTATGAACTTCATAATCCAGTCAAGCACGTTGCAAATTGGACAGTGCCAATGTTAGTTATTGTTGGTGCTCGTGACTATCGTGTACCAGAAACACAAGGAATTGGTGCCTTTACAGCTTTGCAACGCCGTGGTATTGAGAGTCGATTACTGTATTTTCCCAGCGAAAACCATTGGGTACTAAATCCACTACATTCCATTGCCTGGTATGAACAAGTACTCGGCTGGATGCGCAAATGGACCAGCTAAATATATTCTATATTGTTTCAATCAATAATGTAGTAGGCTCCTTATTAGAAACTTTTTTCCTTTTGACACAATATTTTGCGATCTATCGAACAAAACATATAAGCAATGATGAGGACACAGTTTTTTAGCATCAAATAAACGATTCTTTTTAGCTTGACAATATGTTTTACTCATTGATTATACTAACTGCAATAATTCACATTTTAGACAAAAGAGTTCCAAACCGTTTCACACTCTTACTGAAAGAAAATGAGCTAGATGCTTTACTTGAACGAGAATCTCTTGTTTATTTATTAGAATTTTGCTGGAAGTTCAGCTTAATTATCGGCACGATCTATAATCACAAATGTATCGATTCGAGTAATGAGTCTGTCACAGTCGTTTCTTTAATAGGATACATAATTATGTTAACAGTGCACAATATATTCCATTTCTACTTATTTGTCAGAATAATCTAAGTAATTCTTTTCTGGTAGAACAGTATCCTGTTCCACTGTGGATTAGTCAAAAATAAAAAATTCGCGAAAAATAATTGACTACATATCTCGATCATATTTGAGAAACATCGCTGGCTCACTCGATTGGATATTTAAATTGTTGATTTTTGCTAATAAATTCTCTGTCGTGTTTGTATTTATCAGTTATTTTCCTTTATCGGTACCTGTTCTAACAATATCGATCACTTCTCGACAAATCGAAATCAATTAGCTTCGTCTAGCATTTGATTCATTGAAACCAACGAATTGACACTTGAGATACTCGTGGAACTATTGGAACTAGAATAAAAACTAATTAGAATGATCGAGACAATCATAGTACAATGGGGCAGTGCCTCAGTATTTAAGGGTTTTCTTGATGACAAATCGAATAATTTGATCAACTGCCTGATGATGCATTAGTTACGAGTCTGAATCGAGTGGTGTTGTTTGCCGTTATCAATTGGATATATCTTATTGAATTTTCGAGCTGATTACCATCCATGAAATAAAGAGCCACCTTTGTTCTCAGTCGGACGGACGATCGATGAAACCAAATCGATCTTCAGCTCAAGCATTCGTTGCTTCTAGGTCGTAATCTTGCGACAATTTTGATAGATGCAGATTTCAGTGTGGACGTAGGTATGAAAATAGATGCGAATATTTTCTCATTACTCACATGCACTCTTCTTCAAAGTAAATGCCTTGTATAAGTGGCAGATCATGTTCATCTATCTTGACTTTGGTTATATGCGGAGAACGACTTTTAGTCGATCGTAGTGGTATATTTCAATAACAAAGAAGGCTGCCGATAGCAAACCTCAGCTGAGCAAAATGCAGCTATCCTTATAGTTTTAGCCATTTCACTGCAAATAATATACAGGCGATGGTTTTTGTTTTCACTTTTTATGAAAAAAAAATAATAATCTTGAATGCACTGTGTGAATACATTTGCCAAAAGCTGAGGCATAACCGTCGCAACTCGTCAAATAAAAGTCACACCACTTTTGTGTGTAGTTCTCTAGCTTTTGTTAGCTCTCCTTCATACTCAGTCAGGTGACTTGTTCTGTGTGTGGACCTTCATTCGTATGTTTACTTTTATCGTCCGTCTCAAGATAACGAGTTAACGAAGTGATGGTAAGAATAAAGTGAGAAGACCATTGATAGAAAGTATTGTTTTTATCCCACGTAGAAAAAAATCGTATTCTATTGTATTTAGGAAGTTTGAAGAATGCCTTTACTGTCGAATGCACGAATTGACTAAGAAATTCAAGTAAAAGAAGAAATACTTTCAAATGTCATAGTGTGACAGTACTTTCATTCTTTGTCTTTCTAAGATCCTTCGCATATATCATAGACACATGACGTTTTCATTTTATGACACTCAGACACTGACACAGAAGAGAAAAAGACATGACATTATGATCGTCTTATCACAAAGTGAACTGTTTATATGCTAAGACGTTTCAGTCTCGATACTTTATGAAAATCTAACGTAAGTTCGAAATGTATGAACATGCTGTTTGTTAAAAGAAAAACTTTAAAAAAAATCTTTTATAATCATAACAGCGGAATTAAGTTTATGTCTTGTCTAATAGACTGCAAGGTCAGAGTGTACACACTGTTTTAAAAAAGCTGTTAGGAGCACAGTAATACGTAGTCTAGAAATGTCCTACAAACAGATAGAATAGGCAATCCTATTAAACAAAAAAAGAACTTCATTTCATGCTCAACCGTTTCTTCAAAGTTGTCTTTGTTAGTATTCTAAACTTAAAAATATCCAACGGTTTCATCAGTTGTTTTCTCATTGGCGCCTCAAATAGTCCCCATTGGTTAATTTTTGAAAAACCGTACAGTGTAATTTCAACAATTTTGATTTACTTTTTAAGCATCTTCATGTAGCAGAATTCTGATTAATATTTTTATAACCTTCGTATCGGTAGTAGCACACGTCATTCTCTGCATTCTCACACTTAGATGAGAGCGTACAGACCAATGGCGACATAAACAAGCTGAACATCAATACAACTTGAACACAATGTACTGAATCAAAAGTTTCCATATTTTTCCAATGACTTTTTACTAGATTTCCCTTATTGTCGGTGATAAATGGTAGGGAATCATCGGAATATGTGAAATCTTTTCGTCCGAAATATAGCGTAAATGTTCTAGCGAAACCTGCTTACTTCAGGATGCATGAATCATCGATGTAGATAAGTAAATGCGTTTAAAATCCTCTTATGCAACAACCGTAATCGCGAGTTGCAATTAGCATAAGATGAACTGAGACTCTATAAAGGATATAGTTTGCCAGTGTCGAATTTTCTTTGCTTTTGACATAAACGCTTGAAAACCATACAGATCCTTAGTAGATGACTACGGATTGGTCTAGATATAAATGGCACGAAAATTTCTCAAACTAAGATGAAGCAGAAATTTTGCTAATACCACTGTAAAACTTCCAGCTGTCTGATAATTGTTCAAAATTTGCTGACTTCAAAAGCGACTGCAATCAGAAACTATTGACTGAGTTTTCTGAAAAGCTTTTGAAGGAATAGAAAATTATGATGATTTATATCGACATCCAATAGCTATATATATTTCACTTTTGAGAAATCTCACACTGCAATTCTATATGAGAAAACTTTTGGAAAAAAAGAAGTGAAAACTGAATACATGATGTAATATCATGAAAATGTTCTGCAAGACCTAATATATGACTCTAGTAGGATTTACCTTTATTCTAACATACAGAAAAATTTACACGTTAGATTTCCTTCAACATCATAAGTAAGACACGCAGCAAACTGAAACTGAAACCCAAATTATTTGGTAGCTCGAGTAGTGACTTTGAGTTTGGACATGATTCTTTTCTCTCAACTTTCTTCTTTAGATTTAAAATGTTTCTTTTTCTATATTAACAGTAGTAAACAACATAATTCTATATCTGACATTGCTAAGTACAAAATTTCAAACTAGTCGGGAAAGTTAAACCGTTCAATCAACACTGTAGCAGTTTCTAGCATTCTTTTTTTTTCAAATAATTCTCTGCGATCCTACTATAGATGCTGATAGTAGTTTCGACGCCAAATTTATGACGTATGTGGGTATGGGTGTGGGTGTCATTTTCATTAATCAATAACACCCTCGGAGTTTCATGTTGAGTAGTCGAAGTATGTCAATTAGCCGAGGACTCAACAATTTGGTTAAATATTTCGATGAGATTTAACCCATCGAAGTCAACTCATCCACTGGTCATGTAAGATCATTCAATAGGACCCATCGGAAAATGGCACTCTGAGCTCTCGGTCTGAAAATCCGATGCTCATTGCATGCTCGAATCGATGCATCGAAATACCCATCGGAGGACAGCTTGAGTAATACAGAAAAGCATGTTTTTCTTCGATATTATATCTTTTCATATTTTATTTGTGTTAAAGATATTCAAATTTATACAAGTATACTTGATACAAAAAAGAAAAAAGGGACTTAGACACATAATCAAAGAAAAGAGAATAATAGTTCAATACCGTTAAGAGATATCATTTCTTATTCTTCTTTATTGTTTTTCAACGCTTGATTTATTATACTTCTCGAATGAGTTCAGGAAAATAATATCATTAACTTTTGAGGGTGATAGTTGAAAACGTTCCTGGGCTATAATATTTCCTGCTAATAAAAATTCACACTCAACAGTTGCACTAGTCGCAGACAATGATGTAAACTACACTATTTCAATACAAACTACACCCAAACCGAGATCGGTTCGAAAAGTTGCGAACCGAACCGTTGACACCTCTGGTGTGTATGCGACTCTTTACTTTATGAAAACATATCTATTAAACTCATGCCCACATCCACATAGACACTCAAGCAGCACTTCATCCCAACTGAACTCTCCTTTTTTAGTACTTTTGAATATAAGTTCATTCAACAAAACTACAGTAACATCGACAACCTCTAAGTCGGCTGTCCACCAGTTCTCTAAACAGAACACAATTAAATTTTTATTGAATGTTTAAATTTTTGGTAAACTTCACGATCTCTCGCATCACTACAGTAGACCGATTAGAGTTTTAGTTCATCATGTCAAAATATTGGTGAAACAACAAAAATATCGTTCAAGAATTCTAGAAAAACAGTGCATCTCTAGTGCTCAAAGTGTTGATGCGACGAATAATATATAGTGACTTTGATAAAATTAACGAAAAGCGTCATTTTACATTGTAATGATAAGAGAGCCACGTCGTGTTTGTCGTACGAACGCTTTGTTTTTATTTTTCGTCCTTTTCTTCTATCTTGGCTTAAAATAGATGCATATAGAACTTTAAATGGTTCGATAAGGAACAAATAGCGCGAGAGCTACACTTTTAGAATCTTAATTTAATCTATAAAGTGTGCACACAAGTGAACTCGAAAGTCTTTCATTTCATCGACAAGAACTTCATCGTAAGTAAGAAAGAGAAAGTTTCACATAAAATGTACTTCTGGAAATCTCTCAAATAGTCATAGGAGTTCGATAGGATTAACACCGCTTTTTCTTATGTTAGTTAATATGTGTGTTATATGCTTGCATTGAGCAATGCATAGTATTCGACATAACGAAGAAAACTATTCGTTCAATGAAGTTTCGAAGACAGAGTTAAAGCGATCGACAAATAGTAGAAAAATATGCAGTCTGAAAGCGACCATTGTCAATGTTTCAGTTGTTAATATCGCTTTATCGATGATGGTTTCCAATGATCTTGTACCGATCTAAGCAAACATTAGTCAAGAAAATGTATTGATTAAAAGAGATCAGATATTTCGAAAAGTCTTATGTGTTTTATTGTTAGTATTCATGAATGTGAATACTACTGCTTCTTTCTAACCTCAGTTAATCACGTCCGTCATTGCCAACATGCACTCTAGGCATACACGCTGTTCAGTAAAACTAATTTTCTATAGTTGTAAAAAGTGGCCCTATTTTATTTTCATTGAATAACAAAATGTCCCTTCTCTATAGAGCACGTAACCAGAAACTTGCACAGATTCCTTTGCATACTTTTGTTGATGTGATGTTGAAACATGGACGCTCATGAATGCTTTGAAGTAGATGATCACAGCAAATAATTCACTTATAATATGGGCAGATTTTGACGAAGATTTCTATTTGAAATGTAGCGCGTGAAAAATATTAGCAAATTCAAACAGAAGAGTACTAGATTTTGAATAACACGGAAAAGTCCAAAGTATACTTTTACTTCCAGCGAATCCATGCATGTACAGTAGCTAGTTGATTGCTAAATTACTTCAGCAAATAAGTTGTAGTATCTGAAACGTAGTCAAATGTGCGAAAAGACATTATGTCAAAGTGCTAGTACATCACTAGATTAATATTAATAACATGATTTTGTTTTGAGGATACACAAAAAGCGAAAAGCTAAATATTTTTATCACAAGTTTGGTATCAATGTGAAATTTCCGTTGGAGAATATCATTAAAATGTTATGCATTGTAAAGCACACACACACACAAGAATATTGAAATATAAAATAGCATGAAGCGAAGAGGTAATGATTATTTGTTCCTCTTGTAGTTTAGTTTTGTGATTAAAAGTATTTCGAAATCGGTGTTATGGTTACGCAATAAATGCTTGCCACTTGCGCTGAACATTCTATTGTTAGGGTCTTTTTCTTTCGAATATTCTTCGGTTTATCAATAAACAGTTTCGAGATCGATCACCAAAAGAGCAGAACTATAGTTGATTTCATTTATTTCAGTAGCTACAATGGCGGAATCGAATCTGCATCAAATACATGTTGGACTCATTCATCGTATTTTTGATCATTGTGACATCCTAACCTTGGCTTTTTCAATTCGTCGGATCTGCAAACACCTGTATCCTGTTTTCGATGCATACGATCGGTTTGAGCTTGATTTTAATTTAAGCGAAACGCCGAATTTTCGCTCGCTTCACTACTTCGGGTGTGGGTGTGATGTGGAACTTATAGAAGATCAACATACACACCCCACACCCACCCATCCACACCCACACCCGGTTTTGTGAGAACTTTACAAACCAAGCCTGACCGAGCTTAGGCTCGGTGCTCGGGCTCGGTCAGGCTCGGTCGAGAAATTTTTTTGCACTGCAAATAAAAATTAGAATAACTGCAACACAGAACTCTGGAACGTCTCATTTTGTAGAGAAATGTTTTGTCTATCTTTTGATAGGTTCGGCCACGAAATTCAGTCTTTCATTTCAGAGCTCAAAGTTGTAATATAAAAGTGTTGAAAAATAACGAAAAAAAGCTCGGTACACGCCTACATAAATAACAACTTTATTTTTTGTAGATATCTAAGTTTTTTTCTCTTTTCTCTCATGGTATAGAAAGAATACGAGTATTTCTTCTGACATCAAAACAGATGCAGTCACACAGTAAACAAAAGAGAGAGAAAAGAAAAGAATTACACGTGTTTCCACAAATGAAACTTTTTTTTACAAAATCCGTCTGTTCTTCTGTATTCATTGAAAAAATCAAAATAGAATTCACTTTCAGATGAATGAGTATGATGTTAACATTTTGTTACCTCTTCGCGGGTGAGGGTGAGTGGAAGAAGCACCCTCATCCTCACTCTTCTTTATTCACATCCTTCGAGCTAGATAGAGTTAAATCTCAACTCATGCGTTCAGAAAAAGAAGAAGAATTTGTCATGAAAGCGAATCGCTAAAGAGTAATGTTAGCTACTGCATTTCGTTTGGTCTGGCATTTAAGTGACTCATGCATTTTTTAAAAATCTATTGGATTTTTCCAGACGATGACAAAAGTGTCAGTGTTGCCAATCACCTAGCTGGAGAAGACGAAAGAATTGCATGCACATTTGTAATTTTGGAATAGAATCTACGTCATTCATACCACGTCATCTAACAGAACAGGATAAAAACGGACTTGAACTATGGAAATGTATTCAACAAAAGAAAAAACGTTGAAAGAGCAAGTACTTTTTCATATTTCAATAAAATAACTTAAAGCAAATATCATTGGCAGTCCAAGCAAGATTTAGTATATAATACTCTCGATCAAATCATTGTTTAGTCTGTTTTCTGTTATGAAATATTTGTTTCTGCTTCAATCAATTTCAGATTTGCTGTTAAGTAATGATAAATCCTACATTCACGCGTTCGAAATTTGTCGATGATGGTAGTGATGACGATGGATTTTCCTTGACTTGGTCACCCACAGAAGACGAACGTGGACACATCGAAGAATATAAAGAATATGTTCGTCAAAGTCCTGCTTATCATCAAAGTATTCTCCTATATGCTTTTGCAGAAGAACCAAGTATAGTATTGGATGGATTCCTCTTCTTGGGCAATTTGCGCCACGGATCAAATTTAGATTTACTCGAAAGATTTAAAATCGGTAATTCTAGATGCATGCTAAGTTCTAAATAAGAGCTACACAATTTTTTCAATGTCAAAAGGAAGAACAAATTTTACACCGTAAAATCTAATATATAATCTCTCTTTCTCTCTCTTAGAACATATTATCAATGTAAGCGAGACGGACGTCAGAGACAGACTCCCTTCAAACCGTTTCGATATTGTTTACGTGCCAATGTACGATAGAGTACGAACAAATATTAAACAGGTATTTGTGATAACATATTAAATGTTTTCTATTCTCCTGTTCAGCATTTTGATCGTACAAATGAACTGTTGCACAGTTATTACATGAAGAAGGAACGTTGTCTTGTTCATTGTGCTGCTGGTACGTTCAGCTGTTTTCCACCTGTTTGGGATGAAAAAAATCTCTCATGAAATTTCTACTACAGGTGTTTCAAGATCAGCAACTATTGTTTTAGCGTATTTAATGAAGGTAATTTCCTATGAAAATATAAAAAGAATATTACACTGAAAATCTCTCATAGTATCATCACAATACACTCAAGGACGCTTTTCACTATCTCATCGATAAACGTCCTCAAATAGATCCGAACGAAGGTTTTTTATTACAATTGTTGCGCTACGAAAATGAACTAACAAAATCGCGTGAAATTGTGGCGACTTCAGATACAAGTGCAGCATCTACTAGCACTGCAGTTTCATCATCCAACAATACAAATAATCCTATTGAAACAGTGCAACAATTCGAAAAGAAAAAAGGCATGAAAACCATTACAAAAGCTAAATTGGTGAAAACAAGATTGAAAAAATAGGGATCAATCATCTTGTACCTTCTCCAAAACGATTTCAGTATGATATGCTCGTTTTTTCCAACAATTTGCTGAGAAAATCATACTCGTTCAATAAAGTACATATTGCTCAGTTAATCTTTTCTCCAGTAGATTATTCTTTCTGTGTGTTAGTAACATTATGGCTTCGACATATTTATAACGCCAATATTCTAGATCACATCTAGCAACTATTTGAGTCACTCTAATGAGACGTCCCTATTCAAATCTTAAAAACTTCTATCAGATCTCACTGTTTTCATATTCACTTTTGATAAAAGTTCGTATATCTTTGTTCTTTGATTTTTTCGTCACATGTCATGGAGCAATACCGTACTATTTTCTCCTAGGTGGAGTGTGGGTGTGGGTGTGGATGCGGGTAAAGCGCAGACCGATACTCACTCCCACACACCGCCCTACACCCACACCCAAATCGGCACCCACGCCCAATAAAATTTAGTGATTCAAAAATAGTATTTCATATAAGATGGCTTATCGTGCGTCTTATTACCCACATACATAAAATATTTAACAGAGGGTCCATGAATCAATCGAGCAATATTTAGAGACCCATACTTCCGAAAATTTTCACCCCCTCGTTTTATTAGTGAAATCGATAGCCCATGAGGTGAAACTACTAAATCCAAAATATTAGCTCGCTTAAGGCCGCCCCCCCCCTCCGAGAATCAATTATTTAAAAAAAATTCAATTTTCCGAGCAAACCA